GTTCTGCATGTAATTGTTAATAGAATTGTGGTCTCTCTCTCTCTCTCTCTCTCTCTCTCTCTCTCTCTCTCTCTCTCTCTCTCTCTCTCTCTCCCCCTCTTTGGTAATCTTGTTTTCCAAATTAAAATCCTAAAATCCTTCAGTGACTCAGTCTCCACCTGGTCTGAGAAATAAAGAGTCCTGCAGGATCATCCAGGAGCACCAGATTGGGAGAGTGACAGGGCTTCAGATGCACACAGCCCTTCAGAAGAACTGCAGTCCTAGTAAGTGCTGGACCCTGCCCTCTCCATGGGGCTGGCCAACTGGGTCTCCTCCAGGCCTGTGGGACGTTTTAATGGTGTGGGCTGTGCTTTGGGTGGTTTATGTGCTTCTTGGACACATGGCCTGATACATACCATGTGCATCTCATAACTTGTCAGGGTGGCTGTCGTGGGTGCCCTGGCACAATGGGGATGCTTACCCTTTCAGCAATGTTTCCCATTTTAGCTGCCACCCTGTCCTCTCCTGACTGCCCAGTCCAGATGGGTGGAGTCCAATGGATTCAGGTTGGGGTTTCATCCCTCTCAGTTACTACCTCTGTAGTGGTAAACAAGTCTGCTCATGTAGGAAATATGAACCTCTTATATAAGACTGTTTGAAAAATTGACAGATCTTGCATGCAATTCAGCACAGAGCCTGATGCATCAGAAACCCAACAGTGAGCTGCTTCTCAATATTCATAATACATTACGGATCACACAAGTCTTCCCCAACTCACAAGGGAAACAGCTTTCCTCTGATCTTTCTTCTCTTTGGGAGGTGTGAATCTGGATGCAGGGCCTGTGTCTGATGCAGTTTCAGGAGCAACATGGCCTCCTACAGGGGACTGTGGAGAAGAACCTCAGAGGCTTTACCAGAAAGGAGGTTGGCTGTGGTTGGGCTTACCTACATGCTGGCTCTAGAGTGTTTTCTAGCTGAAGGTAACAAAATATAGCCTCCAGATTACTCAAGCAAGGGGACATTCATGGGCTGCCTTGTGAGCTCTATGCCAGGAGCTTTCCTGGGCCTTACTTCCATCTCTTCCTTGATGAAACAATGTAAGTGTGACAATAATGGCTTCACAGGCCATGGAAGAGACACCATGGGGAAATGCTTAGGAAATGGGAGTGGGGAGGTCCTGGATAAAGTGCAAATGACAGTGGCTAGAACCCTTAATGAGGAAAGTGGGGGCAGATAAACTTTCTCTATAGATGAGGGCTTACTTTGGGGAGCAGACAGTGGAATGCCCCTCAATAATTACCAGCGGAGAGAGGAAGGAGGTGGTCCATTCCAAAAATCATGTAGCCCAAACTCAATTAAATTCAAAGTACTGGAAGGTGACATGGCATTGTCTGAAGAATAGAGTCTCATCCCAGCTATGGCCAAGGCCCCTTGGGAATCTTTTTATCTGTGAGACAGCAGCTCCAAGACTGGAAGATAAGATGGAGCCCTTCTGGAAGGCACTGGTCTCCCAGCTGCTCCTCAGACTTGCTCTGTCTCTTGCACAAACTTATGCCAAGAAGGCTGGTGATTCAGCCCTGGGATGGACATGGCCCCTTGGGACTGGAGAGATGAATATTTATCAGTTGGAGTGTTGTGGACTCAAGGCACTCTGAACTCCAAGACTTTTATTTTTTCCCAAATGATCTCAGTGACTGTGTGCTGTGGCTCTCCCTGCTCAATGTCTAGTCTGTGGTGTTTTTCCTTGCTCAGATAGTGTTTCATAGAGGCAGGTTTGGTAAAATATCTTTCCGTTCCACTAAAATATATTAAAATATATTTCCATTCTAAATAAGTTGGTGTCTGTTTTGAATTAATCACCTTGATGCACAGTAATTAGGTGTAGATGCATCAGCAAGAGAGTTTTTTCTTTCAAGAAGGAGGTAGTCATTCTATTTGTTACAGTATAGTGGCATATACTATAGGCCTAAAGATTTTCCCCCGAATCAGACTTCCACCTTCTAAAATGTCAAGATGATCCTTCCTAAATTATCTAGAAGTGGCTGGAGCAGTTTAGAAAGTTTGAGCATGCACGACTAGAGAATTCTCTTACTTCCCCAGAATCCAAGCAGTTGCCAAATAAAACAAAAGTATGTGAGCCTTTCAGCCAGTGCCTGGCATTAGAGACTTGAAGATATAACTGTGGCCTCAGAGGACAGCAGTCCAGCTTCAAAGACTGCTTTGCTAACTTTGGAACGAAACTCTTGAGATATTTTTTAGATTCCTTCTTTCTAGACCTCTCTCTCTGTCTTTCTCCCTCCCATTCTCTTTCTACCCCAATTTCTCTTTCCCTCTCTCTATTCTTCCAACCCTCCTTCCCTTTCTCTCCCACCTCATTTCCTCTCTCCCTCCCTCCTCTCTCTTTGTAGTCTGTCCTTCTCTCTCCCTCACTCTCTTCCCTTCTATCTCTCCTTGCTCTTGCTTTCCTTCCCTCCCTGTCTCTGTATCTCTCCCTCTGTATCTCTCTTCTCTGTTTCTCCTCAGGTCTGCCTGACCCATTTGTATCTAGGGATCATTATCTGTGTACACTGAGACTGCAGCCCCTTTCTTTGCCTTCTTTCTGTTCTATCCTCAAAAGATTTTATAACCAATAAAGGAATTTTTTTGCCCCACTTGCTGCAATCACCACATCCTTTGTCTGGAGAATTCTGACACCACTGCTATGTGTAAGTGCCTAGACTTACTGCTCAGCTGAGGCAGGCAGACTTCAGTGATTCCACCTGACTCTTCCTTGCAGAGTTTAATAGAACAAAACAAGGGGCTTCACTGTTTTGAATAAAAATAGAGAGGTTCTGTTTTCTGGTACTGGGCTAACATTTGTCCTTGCATTTCCTCAAGGGTCAGTAATTAATCACAGAGGTATTTGGGTGGGCAAGATATTTTTGAAAATCATTTTATATTGCCTAACTGATAGATAAGCCACAAAACCCACTCATCTGAACCTGAAAATATTTGTAATACCTTTTTAGACCTGTGGTTTTAAAAGTGTGGTCCCTGGGCCAACATCAGCATCACCCGAGAACTTAAATATTAGGAATACTATCTCCTAAGCCATCTCCATATGGACTGAATCAGAAACTAGGGTTGGGCCCAGCAGCCTGTATTTAACAAGCCCTCCAAATGATTCTGATGCACATTCAAGTTTGAAAATCCCTGCTTCAGAGATCCCTGCTTGAAGATCGCCTTTAAGCCTGTGTCTGCAATGTCAGATTCAAAGTTCTTAATGTGATGTTGGGGAAAACGTATGAAAATAAACGGAAATTAGAAAACATGGGTTGAACTCTTGATAACAGTAACCTAGTGAAGATCTGTAAATAGGATCAACATTCCCCACGTCATAATGATATGGAAACAGCAACACAAAATGAGTCTCTTGCATCTTGAAAGAACCATGAATCACAGCATGCCGAAGGTAGGGGTGGGTAGAGCAGTGTGCTTCTTCTTACCACTAGGGGGCGCGCTGGCTTTTCCAATGTGGTCACTCTGAGAGACGCAGCGTTTTTTGTCTTTGAGGTCCTGTCATTCTTTGTATAAACAAGTTACGTTCAAGTGTTTAGGATATAAATTACGACCATGCCGGCAGCCTAGGGAGGAATGTAAACACAGCACTGTGGTCGGAGCAAACTCTGAAACTGACTTCATAATTTATAGCAGGCCTCGGGTAGCTCAGTATAAAAAGAGAGAGGAAAAAAAACTCTATTTAACTGCAAATATGATAATGGAGACACAAAAAACTTTAAGTCACTGCTTAATTTTGGGAAAAACAGAAAGAAAGCATAAGGATTAAGAAGATAGTGAAGACTTTTTAAGACAAGAGGTTTGACTAGGGCGATGTCTTTGGACTGAAATTCACTTGAAATAGAAAAACCTGTGTGTGAGATATCTACTCAGTGGTATTAGTGCCTGGTAATTAGTTGGGAGAAAGACCTTTCAGGGAATGAGTAACAAAGGAGAGTTTTCAAAAGCGAAAGCAAAAACAAAACAAAAACCCAGCCCAGAGCTGGAGAAGAAAACCAAAGTGTGATTTTGAAGTGCTGGTCAGACAAGGGTGGGCTGGGTCCTCCTGCCTAGTGGGCCTATGCTCTCTCTTTGTTATACATAGCTTCACCAGCCTTTGCCCATAACATTCATGATTGGGAAATCTCGGGAGGCTGATCAAGAAAAGAACCAGGACTGTGAGGTGATCCCTGAGGGAAAGCATCAAATCCCTTGTGAAAAGGAAGGAGGGAGTACAGGGCACAGAGAAGAGAAGTGTGGGGGTTAGAGGATGCCACTGCTGAGCAGGGCAAGCCAGGTTCTGAATTAGAGGGTGGGGACAGAGAACAGGCACAGACCGTCTTGTGAGGGCCAGGTTCTGTTACTCTCCAAGAAAGGTAAAGAAACCAGGATGGACTCTAGAGACTGCCCACTGCTGCTCTCACAGCCTTCCCTCCACCCCTGCCCCCATCACCTTTGTATGGATGAGATCAGCATCCATACAAACCTTGGTCTTGCAAAGGGGATGCAGGTATTGTTTCTTTGCACCTAATCTTCACTGGCTACTCAGCCTGGCCTGTCACTCTAAGCTGGTGGGTTAGAGGAAAGAGCAAAAGGAAAACTCTCCTTGAGCTCAAGAGAGAACAAAAAGGGCAATTCATTTCTTCAAATGAAACAAAATCATGCCTTTCATTATCTTGCCTGGTTTTCTTTCAGTTCCTTTCACCTTCTGGTTTTTGTTTATCCAGAAAGAGCTAGGGTGGAGGAAAGAAGGGAATAACAGAAAACGTTCCTTCTTCTCTTTCTCTTCCGAGAAGGCCCACAATCAGAAGCTGCCCTGTGTTACTCACTGCACAGACCCCACACCATGTCAGTTATACAACTTGGGGGAAAACGTGTAGAGTTGCATTGGCTGAGTGGTGAGGACAACCTGGTGATTTCAGAATGCTGCAGAGAAAACAGGTACCTTTAAAACAACTATTTGTTATATACATTTTATTGAAAAATTTTTACATCAAAATAGTTTGGCAAACTGTAAAAGTATACATAAGTGCAAATATATCCCCCTTTTAAAATACAAGCAAAGTGTGAGTATACATGAGATAATAAAAATATCTTTAAAATATGGTGGTAAAAAATAACCTGGTAAAAATAATTGTATTGTCACAATACTGAAAACCACGTTCTCAAACTAGACATATTGTTTCTAAATACTTTCTTAATAATGTTCTTTGGCACCTGTATCCAAACATAGTGTTTGGAGAAACAGAATTCTCTCCTTATCTGGGCAACAAGGTGTGGCTTTCTTCAAATCTTGTGTTTAGCACTGCCTTTTTGAAAAGCGTATACATTTTCATAGACAAAGAAAAACACACAAACAACTTGTCTGCGTTTTTCAGACCCTGATTACTGAAGGCAATGAAGATCCCAGAGTTACATGTTTATGTTTTTCATGTGGTAACTTTTTACCATCCCCGCTAAGAAATTGAGTTCTCAATTAGTTCTCCCCCTCATTGGCTTCTGGACTTATTTAGGGCACGACCATGCCAGGGCCTGTCCTTCTACCAATGGTAGGCAAGTGTCAGTGAACAATGCTGGCCTGGGGATTCTAAGTGACTGATGTGCTACTGACTGCTGTGGGGTGCATTTTATGTGATTCCATGTCAGTTCATTCTGCCTCACTCCCACCTCCATGGACAAAGTGGCCCTGGCATGGCCTCCCTCCCTCTATTCACATGACACAGGGCTTAATATCCTGACATACACTATTGTGATGGTGGTGGTGATAATATGGCCCACTTGCAGAGGGGTGGAAGGAAGAAATGCCATTAAAGTTGAGGACGAAATCTTTTCTGTCACACACTGGAGTAGAGTGATGCTGGTATCTCGGCAGTCCCACTGAAAGAAGAAAATAAAAATTCTTTTCAGAAACAAATTTGTCCAGCTGAGGGTGGAGTGTATTATTATTTTTTAAATTAATGTAATTGGTGCCTTGTTTTGACTCAGGAGGAGAAGGGATTTGTCTGTTGCTATAAAACTGGTAGACGAAACCAGCTCTGGAAGTTTTTCAAAGTTTTAAACTGTAGGTCATAGGTCTGAAATCATTATGTTTTGTTTTTATGTACCCACAAACACCGCACGTCCCCTCTAAACCAGGTTATTACGTGCTTGAACTTCCCACTACTCCTGGAGGCCCAGAGGAACCATTCAATCACGATTCAGTCGCCGGAGGAGCGGGGACACCGGACGGCGGAACAATTTGACCCAGGCTCTTGCTGCAGGTTCCCGGGCACAGGGCTCCTTCCAGAGCCCAAGCTCCCCACTCCAGAAACACCACCGTTACCCTTGCATCTTGTTTCCCAGCTAACTGGCCCAGTCAGATTAGCATGCCACAGCAGGGATATTTCCTGTGCTTAAAGTGGGGACAGAAAACAATCCCAGCGCTAAAGAAAGGGCCAAGAAAGAAAGCGCGGTCTTCATAGGTCCGGAACGTCTTGCGCTTCCTCTGGAAAAGCCAGGATTCTGGGGAGCAGAGAACGCCCGCCCTTCGGTAAGAGCTCAGCTGCAGACCCTTCTGCGCAACAAGGCGTCTGCCAGCGTGGGGAACCTCTCAGGGAGGAGGGAGAAGGCCCGTAGCTCTCTTCCCCCATGCGCTCCTCGGCCTACAGGGATCCAGAGCCAGGTGGCCACTGGGCGCCCACCAGCCCACCCTTTACTGTCTCTGCGCCTGAGAGCCCGGATGAGCGATCTGCCATGGGTGTTTGGCAAGCGCTGGGACCTGGCCTTCTCCGGAACCGGACCTCTCTCCGTGTCGGACTGTGTTAGGCCTGTTGGCCTGAGTCTGTCTGATCATCTGTGTAGTGTGGGAACCAAAAGTTGCACGTTGGTGGGGGGCCTGATTCAATTTTTGAGTGCGTTAAACCCATACCTGTCTCCTGCCGCGTGGTGCCCTGCTCGCTTCGCCTCCGCCTGGCTGCATCCCAGCTCTAACGAAGAGACCAGGATGCTAAGTAGCCAGTGATTGGGTCTACGCTTATTGCCTAGTAACACCTAATGCTGCTACACCTGAACTGCAATGCTCTCATAACGCAGCGACTGGTCCACGCGTCCCCGATGTGCCTTTGTGCGCTCACAGGTGCGCTCGGACAGCAAACTACAGTACATCGTGGTACCAATTTCCGGATCTCCAAGTAGCTGGCCCAGCAGGACCCCCAGCGAACGCTCAAAAGGTCAGCGCTTTCAGTGACCTGAAGGACAATAAAAGCCCTAGCTCTTTTTTTTTTTGAACGGCTCTCAGGACTTAATGAAGGGCGCAGGGCCTCTCGGAGCACGCGGGACTTGGGCTCTCTGTCCCGAGTGGGAGGGTGCTGACCTTGTGGGTGTGCTGAAGGAGGGGTTCATGCTGTGTATGGGTGTGTGTGCACTCTTGAGCACCGGGAGTGAGGGTGCTACTCGGCCCACGGCCTCAACCCTGCTCGACCTCCCCGCTCCTTGCTGGGCCCTGTACTCCCAGTCCGCTGCGAGTCCCGGAGGCCAGCACACTCCGAATCAGGCCCTGCAGGGCACCCTGCACCCGACCTGCCTGAGAGATGCCAGCAAGGGCTAGAGTATGGCGTATTTTTGAGAGATACGGGAGTCATGGGACCAGAGAGGAAGGTGCAGAGCACGCCGCCCCTCATACTTGGGCCAAGGCATGGTGTCTCAGTCGTTCCCAGACTAGGCCCAAAGGTCGTGAGAAGCTCCTGGGGAAGGCCACCGCTGCCAAGCCTGCCTGCTATGTTCTCTCCAAGACAAAGAGTCCTGTTTCCGGATCCCGGCACTTCTGGGGCTTGTGAGTGTGCCCAGTGTGTGGAGTGGGAGAGGGCGGCCACACGAAAGGATTGTCAGTCTCTTTCGTGTGTGTGTGTGTGTGTGTGTGTGTGTGTGTGTAATTTTAGGGCACTCATTCGCGACTGCTGCAAAACTCTAGAGCCTGGGTCCAGGTTGAGTAGGGCCTGCTGGGATGGGGGCACGGTGAGGACTGCCTGCACAGCCACAAGAGCAGCGGGTGGGCGGGTGAGAGGACTAGTGGGCTCCACCTGGGGTGGGCGGTGACTGACAGCCAGTCCGCGGGGATAAAAAGTATACGAGAGGAGGGTCGTCTGTACTGGTTACTTGTAGAAATCCCCATAAAATTGAACAAGACTCTTCTTTCAGTGACTTAAATCAGGCTAAAATCCTCTCCGGTGTGGTCCTGCCGAGACTGTCTTTGTTTAGTTAACCTTGGAGACCCGCATTTAAAAGGCTTATTTGGGAAATTTCATCATCCAGGGAACCAACATCTTTTGCCCATTTCTGGGCTTCCCTTCTCCCCTGAAGCTCTTGTGGTACACCAATTCATAAACATATAATATATGCATTATCCTGCAAATCATTTTATAATGGGGGTAAGGCAATGTAAGTGAGCACAATTTGATGTAAAGACATGCCCGATTTTAATATGTGGCTGTAGGTGCCCCAGAGGAGGTAAATATAAGAGAGTTTATCTCTACTTTCTTGATAAATCTGGTTAAATATTGGAATTTTTCCCCCACCTGTCTCCTCCCACCGATAGGATTGGCAAGTCAATAAACTTTCATCATCTTCGGCCAACGCAATTTACACCAGCAACACAAGTGGTGTCCAAGGGGTAGGCATTTGTCTAAGGGAGTCATAGTATGGACCTCAGGTCCTGCTGGCCTAAGACAAAGTTAGGTGTAATCAGGTGGGCATTGTGTGGGGAGGCAGGAGGCTCAAACTGTGCAAGATCCCAGCACCCCACTCTGCTTCCTTCCCTCACTTCTCCTCTCAACATCTGCCCAGTTGCAACCTCTCCCCACCCACATTCCCAGCATACAGAACTTGTCTTTCTGACATTTACTTTTGTGCAAAAATACAGCAAAACAAACTTTACAAAAGACAAAAGGAAACAGAACTCTATGGCCAAGGCCCCCAAAGGCTACATGCCTTCTTTCTAAGCTAAGTCAGGCCTGACAGTTGGACCTCTAGTCCATAGGGACACCCAGATACCCGAAGCTGGCGACTTTGAACCATCTTCCTAGGAATGCAAATGCTAGAGGCCCACCTCTAGGCCCAGGGCATGGGGGAAAAGGTAAGACCCCAGTTCTCTTCCCTCCATGAATAAGGTGCAGCCCCCCCCACCCCCAGCATCAGCTCCTATCAGTGCCTTCAGACCCCTAGGCTGCGGCAACCTGTTGCAATTTGCAGTAGCCTTGAAACCTGGAGTCCTAGAGGCAACGCCCCCAGCAGGCTTGGTGCTTTACCTGACAGCTCCTCCCGGGCGTTCTGGTGCAGGTAGCTCTGCTCCAGTGAGTACGAGGACATGCTGGAGTGTAGGCCTGCCGAGGCCGCGGGGTTGCTGCTAGGCGTCAGGGTGGCTGGTTGCTTGAGGTAAGGCGAGGCGCCGGGAGAGCTCCAGTGCGTCCCGGGGCTAGTGTAGGGAGAGTGGCACTCGATGGCGCTCGCCAGGGCAGGGGAAGAAGGCACAGGGCTGCTGCTGCTGTCCGGACCGTAATCCCCACCGCCGCCGCCCCCAGCCGTGCCTACACCCCCAGGCCCGGCGGGCACGGGGCAGCTGGCCATGTAGGTGGAGCCCGGGTTGGGCGACATGTGCGGGACGTGGTGGTGATGGTGGTGGTGGTGTGAGTGTGCATGGCCCGGGGTGCCAGCACCGGCGTCGTAGCCCGCAGGCATCAGGTCGAGGCTGCCATAACCGCCCTGCCCGTGGCAACCGAGCGGCGCCGACGGGGGTGCCTGGAAGTCGAAACTCTGGGGCAGTAGTGAGGCCCCGAAGCCCAAGCCACTCACCACGCGGTGGTACATGGGCTTGAGCGCCTGGCACTTCCGCCTGAAGCCGCGCGGCCGGCGGCGGAAAGAACCCTCCTCGAACATGAACTCACTGGCGGGGTCGATGGTCCAGTAGTGACCCTTGCCAGGCCGCCCGAGACCCTTGGGCAGCTTGATGAAGCACTCGTTGAGCGAGAGGTTGTGGCGCACGGAGTTCTTCCAGCCCTGGTAGGCGCCTCGGAAGAAGGGGAAGCGCGCCTGCAGGAACTGGTAGATCTCGCTGAGCGTCAGGCGCTTGCTAGGCGAGCTCTGGATGGCCATGACGATGAGCGCGATGTAAGAGTAAGGGGGCTTCTCCGGCCGCCGGAGCCCAGAGCTTGCCTTCTTGGCGCCCCCGCTCCCGGCGCCCGCGCCGCCAGCGCTCTTGCAGGCAGCCGAGGAGGCGCTGGCCGAATTGGAGGAGGAAGAGGAGGCAGAGGAGGAGGAGGCGCAGGAGGAGGAGGAGGACGAGGACGAGGACAACGAGGTGGTCTCCAGAGTGGTGGCGGAGGATGACGGGCTCATCAGGGCGGCCTGGAGCGCTCCAGGGGCCGGGCTGCACGCACTGCGGAGCGGGGCCGGCTGTGGGCGCGGCGGCGGCCCGCCCTCGGTGGTCATCTGGGACTCGGGAGAGAGGCCGGGCCGCGGGGGCGGGCCCCGGGCCGGGAGCGGAGGCGCAGGAACCGGGTTGGCCCAGATGCGCTGCGAGTGTCCTTGCCCGGTACCCGGGCTGCAGCCGTGGCCACTCCGAGCCAGCGTCGCCTCCCTCAGCTCAGCTGTGGCTTCTGGCAGCAGCGGCAGCGGTTGGGAGGCAGCTCCCGGTGCATCACGCCCCTGATTCTCGAGCCCCTGCCTTTCCAAACGGCCTCCCGGGCCACCGAGCCGAAGCTGCTGGCCGGGACTGCAGCCGGGACCCAGGGGACGAGCTGATGTCTCCTTCAGGAGCGCTCCTTGCTCTGTGTCTCAGACTTCCTCCCACCCGTTGCTCCCCCCCCCCTCCCCTGCTGCCCTCCCTCCGTTCCTCCACCCCTACACCGCCTCGTCCCCTCCTCGAGCCGTCGCCTCGGGGAGGGCACGCTCCGCCTAGGCGCTCAACCTCACCCCCGCTCCCCACCTGGCGACAGGGTCCCTTTCTTATCACTTTCTTCACTCTCCAGGGTTCCGTTAGGTCTTTAATTCCTATCTCGGCCTCTTTCCTTCTCACCCACCCACCCTCTATAAAAGGAAGAAATCACAGGCTAACCCCCTTTTTGCTAGGATGACCCCAACCCCTAGCAAAACTCGGCCACCTATAGCTTTATAAAAACTTTCCCTTTGCCCCTTACAGCGCCCCTGCCTCTTATCCCAGACACCAACTGACCCTAGTGGAATGGACCTACCCCTTCTCTCCTTCCTCCTCCCTCTTCTCCTGCCCCTCCTCCTCCCTCTCCCACTCCTGCTCCCGCTCCTCCTATTCGCCCATCCTGGGCCTAGTTGTGCTGCTGCCGGTGCCGCCGCCGGGAGCCTTCTTAGTTGCCTTACCCCGGGTGCCCGCACTGACACCATCTGTCAACTTCATTTAGACATTGCAGCCCTCAGCACTTCAGAGGCCAGACGCCCAAAGGTAACGTGCCGGTCTCCTCTCTTTCTGACAGGGCTTGCAGGCCTTACCACAATTGTTAGCAGAGGGTGAGAAGCCAGGGCGCCCTAGCACCCCAGGGTTATGTCTTGGGGCGATCATTGGCATTTGCTGAACTATGAGAAGAAGGGTTTAAGAGAAAACTAAACCAAGTTTTAAAGAAGCTGAAATCTGGTCAAAGAATAGGACTCATTTTGCATTTGTTGCCACTTCATTTCCGTTTTCCACTTGACATTTTATAACAAATGCAAAAAGAAGGCCGGTGCTGAGTGAGGTAAGTAAGATAGCTGTATTTATATTCAGTCCTGAAGGGGCATGTTACTGTCACTAGATTTAAAATCTTAATGTTGCCCACCAAAAGAATTGTACATCGGAAAGTTACCTTTGTGGCAGAATACTTCAAGTCAATGTGGCTAATTCCTCTCCCAGTCAGAGTCTGGCTGAAAGAGAAGTTGTGCCCTCAGGAGGAATAACTTCCATTAAGGCTGGACAGTTAGTTATTGTATTGCACGTGCAAGGAAATGTAGCCTGACCAGAAACAGGGGCTGGAAGTGAGAGGTGGAGAGCAGGCCTGGGAGCTGACGGGGCATAGGAGAGGCCCAGAGGGGAGGTGCTGCAGAACAGAGCACCAAAATTGAAGGCAGCGCTGGGCACACCTCTGTGTCTACTCTGAAAGGATCAAGTGCTGGGAAACCTGGGGAGATTGTGGGGTGGGCAAGAGAGGGGAGATTGTGCTGAGATCCTGTGAAAGGTGGGCAGCAAAGGGCCTTGGGTGGAACAGAACCAAGTCAGGCCTCTTGGGGCTGACATTAGCAGTCTGTGCCCCTAGAGTGCCTGGGGGTACTGCTCCTGGCTGAGTGTGCTGGGGCTGTAGAAGAGGAGTGGGAAGGGTGGGAGGGGAAGGGTGGGGGTTGGGCTGGGTCTGGCCCCAGACAGTGACCTGAAGTTGAGTGGAAGCAGGCTTTTTCCATCAAACCCTGCCTGGATACCACACACAGAGACTGAGTGTCAGTTTACTGCCTTGAGCCGGTTTCTTTTCCCTAAGCTCCACAGTAATTAGACAAAGAAAACCTAAATTAGTTGAACAGGCGTCGACAGCTTCCTCCAGAGCACCCCTGGTACCTACATGGGAATGTGTCCGAAAATGGCTTGATTGTAGCCGAGAGTCAGCTAAGAAAACACAGCCCAAATGAACTCAGTTTACCACCTATTTCCAATAGAAAAAAGAAACAGGTCATCCTTTTCCGGATGGGATGTTTTGATTGAGTTGGGGTAAGGGGTTTGTCATGGTTTCCACTTCTAAGAATTTCTGAGTGACTGATGAGCAGGGGTTTTTTTGGGCAGGGGGATCTCTATTTATTTCATAATATTTTTCTCTTACCCCCTTTTAGTCATTTTGCATGGAATAATTTAAGTGTAAGTAACTAAATATCAAAGTAAATATAGCATGTTCACTAAATGGATGCTGTGAGTGTCTAGAACATAAATAAAATAGAAAGTGGAGTGAGGACTGATAGTATCTAAAAGGAGCTCCATTCTCCGTGTGTGTGTGTGTGTGTGTGTGTGTGTGTGTGTGTGTGTGTGTGTTGGGAAGAGAACTGGCCTAGCTAACAAGCATGGTAAGAAAGGCCATCATCTCATTTGTAGATGGGGCTGTGGGCAATAGATTATGGGAAAATTCAGCAAGTGAATGTCATTGTCACTAGACCCGCTCTAACTTTCTGCACCTGGGGGATTCTGTGTACATTGGATCTCAGGCCCTAAACAGTTTTAGGACTCAGAGACTGAAGAATAAATAGCACAAGCCCTAAAATCCAAGCAGGATTTACTACTCTATACCAGTAGTTCTCAGTTTGGGGGCCATGAGTCTTTTTGAGAATACAATGGCAGCTCTGGAGCCTTCCCCCAGAATACTTCCATTTTGCCTGTGGTATTAGGGGGTCCACAGATACTCCTAAAAAAAAACACCCTACTCTACATATTGTTAGTTTCTACCAATTCAGCTGGTTAAATCATCAGGGATTTTTAAAGGCTTCCTCCCCATCCAAGTGACAGTGGTATCCATTTTATACAAATTGTCTAAACTTGAAAGAAATACCATTTGTAGTTTGGTGACTCTTATAAGAGGCTAGACAAGTCCTGGAAGGGCAATAGACATCGGAGAGCTGTGAGAGCCCCAGTCAGAAATAGGTCAGCTGACTTGGAGTCCCCCCGCCCCCTTCTATCTAAATATTCCCCTACACTCCAGAAAGATAAAAAGGTTGGTGACTTTCTGAGCAGGAAGGAGCTCTTTGCCAAAACCCTTTCTTGGAGATCCCACTTCTGCCTATGGAAATTGTGTCTCTGGCATATACCCCCATGTCTACAAAGACTAAATCTTTTCAGTTGTTGCTTATAGACTGCACAGGTCACCCTCACATGATCATCATCCTCCCCTTTAGAGGTAAGGAAACTAAGGCTTAGAAAGCCCAGATGATTCCCTGAAAGTCACATCTGAGCTAGTGACAAAGCTAACCTATACCGCAGGCCTGGGGTCCCACCCCCATTCTGCTTCCACTACATCACATTACAACCTCTTTGAACTTTGTTTTAATTAACCAATTTATACAAACCTCCTGGGTGAGAATGCATGTTGTAATAAAGTATGTCAAATTGTTACCCCTAGCAAGGGTATCTGAATTTCTGTTTAGCACATGATTTAAAAGGGAAGTTGTATTTATCTCTGAAGCAGAGAAAAAGCATCCCTACTTAGTGAAGGGCTCTTCACTTTTTCAGAGTCCTTTCTTCTGGTGTTGAGATCTTCCCGACTGACTTTCACTGCTTTACAAACAACACAAACTTGATCTCTTTTTCTTATGGGAAGTAAAGGTATGGCTCTTAAAAATGAGTATAGATCAGCCCACCGGCTCCTTGGTTAACCAGAAATACAGAGCCTCGGCACAGCGGATCCCCTCTCCCACCCGGCTCTCTGTCCTTCCCCTGTGCCCCACCCCCGCTTTGGTGATTGTCCCCGTCTTCGAGGGAGGTTCCCGTCAGCTCCAAACCCCAGAACCCCTCCCCTGTTCCAGCACAGAGTAGTGTAAACTTCGGGAAGCTTGGATTTATTTCTCCGATTTTGTTCTGCAATCAGCGTTTTATTATAGAAAATCTCATTATTGCGGTTTAAATTTTGTGTTCTTAGTATGCTTCCTCTGCTTCGTGGGTTTTACATGAAAGGGCTTAGACTAAATCAGTAACCCACCGGAGACGCATCCGCACCAAAGCTGTTTACTGCATCTAAGACCTCGCCTCCTTGGGGCACTTCGTCTCCTTCCTCCTCCCCACTTCCTTCGACCAGCCCCGCTGGAGCAAAGCCTCCTCCCAATTCAGTTTGAAAGTACTCTATTCACCCAGTGTTGTAATACGAAGTTAATGTGTGTAATAGATCCTCTAATTCCCGAGAGGATTTCCTACATGGGGACCTTGGGGACTCATTGCCGAGGTCTAGGGGGTGTCAGCGTGTTTGGGGAAATCACTGGAGGACCACGAGCTTGCGTGCCACAGAGCTTCTCTAGAAACTTTAATTTGCGATAGAAAGTCTGGCCAGGGGGCCAGGAAGAGGCTCCGAGACTGGGGTGAGAGAGGGGAACTGGGCGAGGAGGGGTGACAGTGAATTCTATATCCTCAGCGTCTGTTCTCTTTCCTCGGCCCAGACACTCCCAGACCTCCGGGTATGAACATCAACCACCCAATTCTAAATGTTTATTTGGATAGATTCTTCCGCTGTTCAAACGCCTGTGTCCCGGGCAGGGCTCTTTTTCATAGACTGAGAATTCCGTGATAGCCTCAGACCTCCTGCGCCTGGCATGGGCATGGCTTAGTCGCCCACTTTGTCAGGTCTGAGAGGTTTGGTGAGGAAGGAGAAGGGGTCTAATTTACTAGAGCCCCATGGGGAAACCTCACCTCTTCCTATCTCTGTACTTCCCAGATTGCGTTCCCATGGCTGGGGAGAGACAACTTTGGGGTGCTCTGCCGGCCACCCAGTTGCCCGCGGGCCCTCACCCGGGTTGGGGCAAGGAGGTACCTGACGGGCACCTACCCCCTACATTGCCCACAGTCTGCTGCATTTATTTGTGAGGAGGCTGGGGGCCTGAGAAGAGGGTTCCTGGCAGGAAAGGCCATTCCTTCTAAAAGGCCACTCTAATGCTTGCGGGAAGGAGAGAAATGACAGTGCTGGAATAGACACAGTCTGTGTGTCTCCCGTGGGGGCAGGAATGAGTGGGTTCTCAGTGCCGAAGGAGAACTAGAGGAGCCTGTACCACACACTCTCAGTCTCGGGAGAAAAAAAAGGCATAGCAAGTGTAGGTGTT